AGGACATATCATGAAGAGTGAGGTAGGGATCCAGCTTTCTTTTTTTCTTTTTGCATAAAGAGTAGCTAGTTGTCCCCACACTAATTTTTTAAAGTAATTCCTCCCCCAGCCACATTTATATGTATACATGTATATATTTATAACGTCATCTTTCTAAAAAGTTAAATTACCATATACATGAGGACTATTTCTGTACTTTCTGTTCTGTTTTATTTGTCTAGCTGTTGGTGATTTCTTCAGTACTGAACTTCAAAAAACTGTTTTCATATCAGAAGTGTTTCATATTTGAGAGGGCTAGCACCACCTTTCACCCTACCCAATCTGGTCCCATAAACTCTTTCAGAATTTTTCTGCTATTCACCAATGCTTATTTTTCCTGATGAATTTTAGTAGCATTTAATAAGTTCCCTCTGAAAATTCTTTTCATATTTTAATTGGGAATGCACTGGGTTTGGAGATTATTTTAGAATGAATTGATGTATTTATAGTATTGAACCGTCGTTTTCTCTGAGTTACAGTTTGTTGTGTATGTCCTTTACTAGCATTTTAAAGGGTTCCCCCCCATATATCAATAGATTCTTCACTTTTCCTATTAATACCTACTAATAACTTGGTATTTAATATTTTGGTTACTATTTTAGTTTGGAATTTTTTCATTATACTTTATAATTATTGTTGTTCATAGGAAAGTCATTGACTTTTTAATATTAATTTGTGTACTTTGACATCTTATTTAATTTTCTCATCATTTCTATTTTTAGTCAATTCTTTTGAGTTTCTAACTATACCATGTATCACCTGTGCTGCTTCCTTCTATTGTAGTATCTATGCCTGTTCTTCCTTTTTCTCTGCTTATATTGGCCACAGAGTGATATTAAATGACTGGTGATGGTAGGTACCTTGAGGTTTATTACATTCATTCACATTTAGTGTTGATATGTCTTTTTGTTTGTTTGTTTGTTTGTTTAAGATTTTATTGGGGAATTGGGATAGGGAACAGCATTGGGGAATTGGAGAAGGGGAACAGACAAGTTGCTGTCCTTTTGTTCTTCAGTCTAGTTATGGATGACATTGCTTTACTGGCCCACATTGGTATTATGATCATTGTGCTCTTCCTGGCTGAGGCAGATCAGTTGTCGGCCATTGGATGGGCACTCATGGCGGCTCATGGTAGCTCATGCTGGCTGCCGGCCGCTCACGCTGGCTACCGGCCACTCACGGTAGCTATGGCAGCCCACTGCAGCCCCACTGCAGCCTATGCCGTCACCAGCAAATCACAGCAGCCCAGCTCCAGGTCAAGCTGTTGTTCACCATCTTAGCTGCAGAGGGCGCAGCGTCACTGGCCCATGTGGGATTTGAACCCACGGTCCTGCTGCTCAGAGCTGGTGCTCCCAAGCCAACTCTTTTTTTTTTTTTTAAAGATTTCATTGGGGAATTGGGGGATGGGAACAGCACTGGGGAGTTGGGGGAAGGGGAACAGACAAGTTGCTGTGGTTTTTGTTCTTCAGTCTAGTTGTGGAGCACGTTGCTTCACTGGCCCAAGTTGGCACCATCATTGCGCTCTTCCCAGGCAAGGGAGATCAGTCGCTGGCTTCTGGACGGCCGCTCAGTGCGGCTGCTGGCCGCTCACGCTGGCTGCTGGCTACACACGGTAGCCCATGGCAACCCACTGCCATAGGGGCTGCAG